ACCCCCCCCCCCCCCCCCCCACTGGCGAGGGCGGGAGTGGAGGGACGGAGAGACCCTTACCTCACCCTCCTCCCCCCCACTGGCGATGGCGGGAGTGGGGGGAGGGAGCGACCCTTACCTCAGCGCCCTTCCCCCATTGGGGACAGGGCAGTTGGGGAGAGGAGAGAGACCCTTACTTCACCCCCTAATTTGGGACAAGGGTGAGGGGAGTCTCCTTTCCTGAGCATTTCCCCCAATTAGCCCATCCCTGATCGTGACATGGGCACTCGCGGTGGAGTCCCTTTTCCTCACAGCTCCTTGCCGTAAAGGTTCAGGGAGGGTGTGTGGATTCACCTCCATTGCCTGAGGAAGGACACCGGGTGTGTCAGGAGTAGGGATGTTAAAAAGCATTTACTCAGATAAATGTGTAACTGCTGTAATTTTCAGCAGTTACACATGAGGGGGCATAGGAGGCGGCTACACGGGAGCTGGTGCTTCCCCTTCCCTGTGCTAATGTCTCTGATACACAAGCAGCAATGCGAGGTGGCAGCAGCCCCTCTCACGGTGGGGCCTTCCCCCTCCCCACTCTGTGCTGCTGCTTTTAAGCTGGCAGCTCCAAGAACCAGCTTCTGCCTACTCCTGCCCCCCTGCTGCCTCTGTGGGAGGTAGAAAGAGGGGGGGCAGGTGGCTCCATGGGATCTAGTGCTTGTGGGGAGCTGGCTCCTGCCTCCCTCCCACTTGCTGCCCATGATACAGAAGCAGCAAGGGAGCGGTAGTGAGTGTAGTCAACAGAATTAACTGCAAAGCCCAAGTTTATCAGTTAATTGTGTACTTGACAACACTACCCTGCTCCACACTGCTGCCTCTGATAAAGAAGCAGCTGTGTGGGTAGGGGCATGTGGCTCCGCAGGAGACAGTATTCATGGTTTAAAAGCCTGCTCTTCTGCATACTGCTTCCCACCTGCCCCCCGCCTCACTGCTGCCTCTGATACAGAGGCAGCGGAGGAGGGGGAGGTTACATGTAACTATGAAGGAGTAGCCTCCATGTCTCCGCTCTCGTGCTGCTGCCTCCCAAAGAAGCACCAGGAATGGGGAGGCAGGAGCTGGTACTCCCCGCGAGCTGCCTGCCCCCTCCCACTCGTGCTGCTGCTTCTGCTAGAGAGGCAGCAGTGTGCACACCCATTTTATTGTGATGGGTGGCTGGCTGGTGGAACA